TCCTGCCCGCCAGGCCCCTGCTCCTATCCCAGCCCTGGCTGAAAGGTCTGGCCAGCAGATCACACATTTTTGCCCAAAGCTTTGACCTCAGGTTTTCTTCCCAAACCCACCCATCTCAGCGTTCCTCCACACCCCAACCCAGCCCGCTCCGCTGGCCTGCGGTGTCATTCCCTCCCGGGCACCCCAGCCCCTGACATGGCCACGAGGGAAATGGCCCCTCACCCTCAGGCCCCCCGCAGCCCCTGACCTCTGCCCTCACTGGCTTCTCGCTCCCTTCCCCTCGCTCAGCCCTCTGCTGCCCACTGCAGGTGTCCGGGCCTGGACGTGAGCCTGTCTTCTGACCCAAAAGAGGGCAGGTCAGCAACATGGAGTGGGGGAGCCGGGGTCTATGGACAGGAAGTGTCAGGGAGACAGCGGCAGGTGGGTGGTGTCTGGGCAGAGGTGGGGGCCTGGGGGTCCCTTGGTGGAGAGGAAGGTGTGTCTGGAGCCAGACGCAGGTGCCCGCTGTACAGACTGTGAACGCACTGGATGCCCCTGAATTGTCCCCTTTAAACGCCAACTGGGTGTTATGTAAATTTCCCCTCAATTAAAAACATCTCCCTGCAAAATAAGCTCTAAACTCCTCCCAATCCGCCCACGGGACCCAGGTGCTGTGGTCCCCTCCCTGCGTCCCTCCCCTCCTCCCTCGTGTGGGTCTGAAAAACAAGTGCTCAGGGCAGGCGGCGGCCCCACAGCACCATTCGCTGCAGGAGTGGAAAAAGGGGGTGTGATTCCTCAGCCGGTCCCTGGCGGCCCCACAGCACCATTCGCTGCAGGAGCGGAAAAAGGGGGTGTGATTTCTCAGCCCGTCCCTGGCGGCCCCAGGCACCTCGGTGACTCCCGCCTCTGAGACCAATTACCCCGCGTTGGGGACAGGCTGGGCCCAGCAGCCTCATTAAAGCGCTGCCTGCTGCCTCCGTGGGAGACAAGGGAGAAAGCCCAGGGAGGGCGGAGGGCGGGGGG